CAGTGCTCTAGGGCCCCCTACACTGATCTAGGGCTCTTTCTCCTTGATCTCATTTGAGGGGGACCCTTTCTTCCTATCGGGGCCCTTTTTGTTAACCTGCCCGGACGCTCTTGATCGCACAGGAGCATTAATTCACGTACGCTGGTCTTGGGTGATTTCCTTTTGCTCCGAAGGCCCTGTGCTCTGGCCGGAATTTTATATGTAAGCCTGCTGGGGCACTCTCGAGTGTTCAGGAGCCCACTACGTTGGTCGTGGGTTCTCCTCGCTTGCCCTGAGGACCCTACACTTGGTGGAAGCCTCTCTGTTGGCCTGCCGCGGCACCCTCGATTGCTTGGGATCCGTTCCTATTAGCCTTGGTCCCTTAGCCTTAGAGCAGCAGTCGGGCATGCACCGATGAATTTTTACGTCATATGTGTCTTTTCCTAATCAAACTCGTGGCTTATTACACCTTTGCACCACGTTCTTAATACACTTTGAATGTCAGCATATTTTGCACTTCATCCTAACAAGCCTTAAACTCTGCATAAGTAATCAGCCATCAGTTGATCACACCGACTAGCCGTCTAGACGAAAATAATTTCGAGTCAAGTTCACGCTCCAGTTTGGTGGTATTTAGCAGCCAACTCTACTTCATTTTGCCATGTTTTTTCCCATAGACATAGCGTCAAAATGACAGGATTCACCTTGGTCCGGAGAAAATGAATAACCCCATGTGTGTGCGTGCGTAGCACGCCTAGTTTTCTAGGGTTGCACACAGTTAGATGGGTTCCCGCATGAAAGATATCAAGAATTTGAAAATTTTCAGACCAGAATAAGGGACTTTTTTGGAGGACCCAAAACCCTTGAGTGCTTTGTGTACACGAAGCCATATAAACAAAGCTACATGCATGCGAAAAAATGGAATGGCTAGATTCACATAACTGTATCATCCATGTCCATTCTACAAAGTGTGGCAGATGTTTGTATGATCCGATTATGGTAGGGTTGTATCAAACATCTGAAATTTGGTAAGCTTTCTGAAACAGTCGTGCATAATTTCCATTCATTTGTGTCAGTCGTTAGTACCACCAGGGGTGCAGTTTCATGTTGCTGGGCTACCTCAGCCCTCCCAACTCTAAGAGAAAAAGTGAGACTGGGTTAAGCCATTTTCCCTGTTCGGCCTTTGAAACAATGTCAAAAGATCGTGTCCCTGAGCAATATCCTGCCGAACCTTGCAAATCAAGTCTGAGAGGAGTCTCGGATCAGACTGTAGTTCTTGCTGCTTTCATTAGCATCAATCCAGGCTAGAGATTGATTCGTGCTGGACGGCAGCTTAGTCCTGAGCCGTCTCTCGGTTCTCGTTGGATCTCTACATGTCACTGCTGAATCTTGGTTCCTGGTGAATCTCTTGACAGAATGTGAGGTTTGATTTTGGTTCTTACTGGATCTTTCTGGGTGATATTAGGCTTGATCTTTCGCCCTCATACGAAGCTAAATTCTAGTTTTTTGGGGTCTTTCACCTTAATATGAGGCTACATCCTGGCTGCTGCTGGACTCCTCGGCCTAATACCAGACTCGTTCCTGGGTTCTTCTTGGTCCCGGAACTAGAAACAGGAACCGGAATCCGGAACAAAAGCTTGTAAACCAGGCGCATGTCACGTTCGTTAAGTTCGTTACATCTATTGCAGTGGCAACAAGTTTCACGAATCAACTTGCAAGGTCAACGCACGGGGTAACGTCGCATTGTCAAGGTATGGTGCAAGGCGTCATCAGAAAGCCCGTTGTCGATTTCAGTCTGGGCTTCCAGAATCACCAGAGTCCAAGTCAAACCCCAAGGTCGAATGACGAGGTAGCGTTGCAATGTCCCTGTATGATATTGATCTGTAAAAAGCATCATGGGAAAGCCCATGGCCGATTTCGGTTTGGGATAACAAAACATAAAACTTTAGGGCTCATTGTAGTGGTACACATGCTTGAAATTAAATTTTCAAGGTCAATGGACGGAGTAGTACCGCATTGCCGCTGTATGGCACACATTTCTGCCAATAAGGTGCCATCAAAAAGCCCGCTGTGAATTCAGGCCTGGGCGTCCAGGTCAAAACCCAAGGTCAAATTCAATGTCAAAGGACGGGGTAACGCTCCACTGTCGCTGAGTGCGACTGGTCTGTATAAATGGGACATCATTAGAAACCCCGTGGTCTATTGCAGCCTTTTATATCAAAACGTGAAACCTCAAGGTTCATTGTAGTGCTAAAAAAGCTATAATAGCAAATTGCTATGGTCGAAGGACGAGAAGCGACGTCTTGCCGCTATATGGGACGGATTTGTACAAACAAGGGTTCATTAGACCACGATATTTGTAACGGTTCCTCATTTATACAGATCTATTCCTCATTTGTCCAGATCGATCCCTCACATCGGCAGCGCGGCGCTTCCCCGTCCTTTGATCTTGGACTTGACCTTGGCTTTTTACTTTGACTCTACTGTGGTCAAAAGCCCAGTCTGAAATCTAAAACGGGCTTTCTAATGATGCCTCATTTGTAAACATAAATCACATGCAGCGGCATGGCGGCGTTACCCGTTCTTTAACCCTGAATTTGACCTTGGATTTTTAGTTTAACCATAGTGTTTTAGAAGCCCAAGCTGAAATTGGCAACAGGCCTTCTAATGACGCCTTGCGTGTCATACAGTGGCCATGCAAAGTTACGCCGTCCTCTGGCCTTGAAAATTTGCTTTTAGAACTTTTTACCACAATAATGAATTTTAAAGTTTGACGTTTTGATATCCGAGGCTGAAACTGGTGACTGGCTTTCAGATGAGATCCTATTTTAAGATATCAATGTCATATCGTGGCAGTACGACGTGCTGGGTTGAAGAGGCCGTGCCTCTGAAGGCCAGTTTGTTTGAGGTAGAGGACATGGGACCTGGTTTTCGTTATCAGCAGTTTGTGTTTGGCGTTAAATCTTATTTTAAGCGGAATTGGTGCAGATGGCAAAGTCAGGAAACATACCGCGTCCCAGACAAGTTAACAGACCATTTCAAAGTGCTACAATGAATGACGTGCAGTTCTACTAGAATATTGTGATTGCAATTTCTAAGCAGATAATACAATATTGTTGATCCTGACCTACGCTTTGTCGAATCTCAGCAAGGAACTAGATGATGTATATGACATATGGTACTGATATGCTATATGGATCTACACCAATGGGTCTGCGTTGTAGGTGCCGGGTAGAATGTGCCCACATAGAGCTGAGACTTGAGAGAAATGGTTGGTATCAGACTACAGGAAAGGTACTGTTTGCTGCACTGCTTGTCCTCGGTTCAAACTACAAACTTGATGCAAGGCTATTTGTACTCGTTTCATTATTATGATATTTAAATATATATATATATATATATATATATATATATATATATATATATATATATCTATCTATCTATCTATCTATCTATGTATATATATATATCTATGTATATATATATATATATACATATATATATATATATACATATATATATATATATATATATATATATATGTATATATATATACATATATATATATATATACATATATATATATATATATATATATATATATATATATATATATGTGTGTGTGTGTGTGCGTGCGTGCGTGCGTGCGTGCGTGCGTGCGTGCGTGCGTGCATGCGTGCGTGCGCGCGTGCGTGCGTGTGTGTGTGGGGGGGGGGAGTGTGTGTAAGTGTGTAAGTGTGTGTCGTATGGTTACTGATTGTTATATATTCCATATCATCATCGAGTTAACGACGATGTTAATGAGCCATAAGTAAACGAACCATAACTGAGTCGGATCTTTGATTTTGCAAGCCGTGTGAGTCATGAGCCAAATGAATCAACGCAAACAATGAGTCTGAACTGAGCTGAATAAAAAGATGAAACGGCTATGAGTCATGAGCTGAATCGGATCTCAAAATCAGTAAGCCGGTCCTCAGCCGGCTTGACGAATTTGATTGGAATGCAAGCCTGTTCAGGACTGGATGATGTTTGGGTTTCAGCCACATACGCGCGTCACAGCCCGAACTCTCTCCTTTGGATTGCTTGGATTCCAGCCAGGGTTTTCTGATTGCAAGTTCAGTTCTTTAACAACTGGGCTAACCGGAAAGAGAGGAGAAATGGGAAGGTCCTTCCCGGCTGGCCCAGTTGGAGCACAAGACTCATAATCAGAGGACCCTGGTTTGAATCCAAGCAACTCCAAGCGGAGAATTCGGTTTGTGGCATGGTATTGAGCGTACATGGCTGAAAGCCAAACATAACCCAGTCCTAAGGGCTTCATTATACCTGATGACGGGACTCGACTGACCAAAACATTGTATGCATTCACCACACGAGATGAGCACGATAGTCTGAACAATTATCCCATCCGTGATACGAGATGTTCCTTTGAGCGGTGGATCTGCTGATCATTGGGACTACGTGGAACACACTTGATTCACCCAGAATTTGCTTGAGTTAACTCAAAATCGAAATTGTTGCCTTTTTGGTAATTCTGGCAGACAATTCCATTTTTCGACACATGGCTGGCCAATTAAGTGGAATAACTTATCAACAATATCCATGACGGCGACATTTCAAGTAACCTGCCTCAACCCTTCCGAAATCTGACCTTCGCCATTAATGGCCGAGGCCCGGTCTTGGTTACGCGCACCCCACGTACCACTACGCGGCCCACGCCCCTCAGCCGGTCCCCCAGGAGGGGTGGGCCTTGTGCGGTCCCACCTGGCCAGCCCGGCTGGGCGCCCCGGTCGGCCGTCTCCCCGACTCCCACGGTCGTTAGCTCACGCGCCCTGCCCTCGGTTCCAATGACCCCGGGTCCGGCGAGGGCACACGCATACGCACGCGCACACGCACGGCGGGGTCGCGGCCGCGCGCTCGGCCGTTGTCCGACCGCCAAGAATAGTTCCGTCTAATTGGCGGCCGGGAGCGTGGCGGCGGCGGCCCCCGTCGGGCCGCGGCGCCGCCGCCGAGCCCGGCACAGGTAGTCGGCCGGTCGGCGAGTGCGCGCGGGACGGCTTGTGCGCCAGATCCTCCGCCCGGGAGCGCGCCGCGCCCAGTCACGCTTCCGAGATAGGTAAGTCGTCAGCCGGTGTCTTCAGGACGGATCCAACGGCTTTAGCCACGGTGGGATCGGTTATTAATTACTTCAACATGGGCCATGTAATGATGAATGCATGATTACGCAGAGAAGGTATCGGTGTTGGATGCTCCAGCAGCGTCGGAGACGCATTTCAGGCTGGATTTATATGGTTAGTGCCGACTTCTATTATGCGCTGACCGGCTACGGTCCAGTTCGCTCGAAAAACAAGCAGATCGGAGTGGTGAGAAAGAGAGAGAGGGAGAGAGAGAGAGAGAGAGAGAGAGAGGGATAGGGAGAGAGAGAGAGAGAGAGAGAGAGAGAGAGAGAGAGAGAGAGAGAGAGAGAGAGAGAGAGAGAGAGAGAGAGAGAGAGAGAGAGATAGAGAGAGAGAGAGAGAGAGAGAGAGAGAGAGAAGGGGGATCCGGTGTAGCATGCACGACATGGGATTAGGGCTAATACGTCTAAGCTCACCTTGTCCAGACAGACTGTCGGCGAAAGTGAATCAGTGCGTAAACGGCTCATTCACACCAATTTAGGTATGGCTGGTGGTACGACAGAACGCGGTTGAGATACTCCCACGAGGCAATGCATAAAGCGACGTCACAGCAATGAAACGGGGATGCACATGACAAACCACTTCGTCGATTGTCATGTAATGCAGCGTCACATCACGGCCGCCCCCGTTACACACTCTCGCCATTTTGGCCATTTGCCCGTGAACCGTCAGTCAGTTCACGTGAACGCGGTTTCTGATACGCCATTTCCTATGCCCGCTGCGCCGTGGTCAGTGTCCGACGCACACAGCTGGGCGGCGCGGACGGAAGCGTTGCTGCGTTAATCTTGAATCATATAAGCTGATATTATTTGTAGCCCGCACGGAACTCAACGGAGCTGACAAGCACAGATTAGGGTGCATTGCGAGTGCATTGGCGACGGCTGTCTTGGCCCGGTCAAGCCAGGCCCACACGTGCCGGCTGTCTTGGCCCGGCCAATCCAGGCCCGCACGTGCTGGCTATCTCGGCCCGGCCAAGCCAGGCCCACACGTGCCAGCTGTCTTGACTTGGCCAAGCCAGGCCCACACGTGCTGGCTATCCCGGCCCGGCCAAGCCAGGCCCACACGTGCCGGCTGTCTTGGCTTGACCAAGCCAGGCCCACACATGCTGGCTATCCCGGCCCGGCCACGCCAGGCCCACACGTGCTGACTATCTCGACCCGGCCACGCCAGGCCCACACGTGCCGGCCGGGTGGGCCCGGCCGCCCCAGGCCCACACGTGGCCGACGACCGCCCGGCAGATGCACTTCCGCTGATTTCCCAACGGCCCTGCAGATGGGAGTTTTTATGGTGCCGAGTTCTCCTTCTTTGTCTCATCCCTGCTGCGTATAGTGCAGTTACTGCGTTCGGGTTGGGCGGCCGCTAAACTGGCTGTGTAACAGCTGCGTCCACTGGCACGTAAACGGCGGCGAGACGCTGGCTCGCGGTGACAGGATGAGTGCTGCTGCTGCTGGTTCGCCGAAACCCTCTGCGCACGCCTGGCTGGATGATCACCATTATGTCCACTGGAGTGTATCTCCCCGCTTATCCATGTTCTGTGGCTGCCCGGCCTGCTCCTGCCCGCGCCAGACCGTGGCAGTGCGGGGAGTGCAGGCTCCAGCACCGAGTCTGACTCCGGGCTCCGCCGAGTGCGTGTTATTCTATCCAGGCCGCGAAGCGCGGTTGCGCCGGCGTGCAGGGTCATTAGCAGCCTCCAGCGGTGACCGGCAGGGCAATAGCTCACGAGGGGCAGCGCACTCGGCACTGACTGCTCGTCGCTCCAGGCGAGCTGACGCATATCATTATCGGTTGCCGGTGGCGCGTCGGCATATCTTTCCATGAATTCAGTGATGTGCAGGCCGTTCTGGGCAGAGTAAGCGGAGAAGGGGTGCCACAATATTGTACAGGTGTGCATACGTGTGAATTTGGATGGGAACATGTTGAGAAAATATATGTTGGACCTCAGGCTACATCCGCCGCCCGCTGATCGGTGCCGTAACAGGTTTGGGTTGTATGTTTCACTGGACTGGTATGCTTGCAGAGCTTTCGTTGCGCACACATTTATTCACTTCAGAGTGAACCCAGCAAGTTGATATCCTGTCTGGCTGCTAAAATTGTTGTTTTCCACGTATCACATGCAAACTCTCTTAATGTATGTATGCCATTGTGCAGTCCCGACAGGCCAACTGATCCGATCTTTGCTGGTGAAACTGCTTGAGAGCGATGGATGGCGCTGCCAAAAACAGCCGTGTCAGACTCCACAACGTGTAATGTGCAAATAGGACGTCTGCGTTTGAACACAAGGTATCGTTAAAGAAATGTATCGCAGTGAAACAGCGGTGTCCATGTCGGTACGCTTTCTTCAGTGCCCGGGCCCCGGAGGATTTAACGCTCTATTCACTGTCCTAGCCCCGGAGGACTTAACGCTCTCTTCAGCTCCCAGTCCCCGGAGGACTTTACGCTCTCTTCAGTGCCGGACCCCGGAGGACTTAACGCTCTCTTCAGTGCCCTAGCCCCGGAGGACTTAACGCTCTCTTCAGTGCCGTAGCCCTGGAGGACTTAACGCTCTCTTCAGTGTCCGGTCTCCGGAGGACTTTACACTTTCTCCAGTGCCCCAGCCCCGGAGGACTTCACATGCGGAGCAGGCTGCAGGTGTATCTCGCGCCGATCGGACGTCCGATAGGCGCGAATACGGCGCCTGTCTGTCCGCCACGGTGGCCGAGTCCCGCATAAGATCCAGTGCGGTCCCGCGGGCGCCAGTGGCCTTCGCGGCTCGTGGTGCGAGGGGACAGCCTGCCTCTGTGAAGTCACTCCCATTGTGATACAGCCCGGGACCTGTCCTCAACTGTTGCGCCCCTCTGGCGAGATTGGGGGCCCTGATACCGAGTAGTAAATTCTGGGCTTCCGATTGATGCAAGCACCGAACGCGTTTTTCAACTGGTAATTACGAGCGTGGGGCTTTGACGCCGGTCGTGTTCATGTATAGGCGAAACGCGCTGAACACGAGGCTCTAGTCCGAGTTTCCGCGCCACGAGCCTGCTGCGCCGTCGGAAGTGTCTGCGCTCTCTCAGAGCGCAGGCGCGGCGTGAGTCATGCAGAAAGTGTGACCACTCGGCTGCCATCCCCGGCGTGTCTCCCCCCCCCCCCCCCCCTCCTCCCGGCGGGGATGCCTGGCGTGCGTGGCGCCGCTAGATCCACGAGGTCCCGACACGACTGCGTCACTCAACCTTGAGGCCGGCCGCCTCGAAGGGCGAGAAGACAAGCGCGGCGAAACTCAGAGCGTGGCCAGTTTCCCTGGCGGGCAGCTTTCGCATACCCGGCCATCGGTACGCGTCATTCCTGCTCAGAGCCCCGCCCGAATCGGTCGGCGGCGGCCAGGCCGGGCCGGGCCGCCAGGAAGTCCTGGACGGCCGGGCGGTGCCGCCTCGCACAGCGACGGCCATTAGCGGTGGCCTTTCTCAGGCGCGCGGAGAGAAGCCGGTGACGCGCGCCGCGCGCCGCGATCGCCTCTCTCCTCGGCGCGCATCCGGCCGAGCGAGGTTAGCGGCAGCCGGCGGCCGGCGCCGGCGCATGCCTCCCCGGACGGCGCCAAGGTTAGCCGCGGCGTCCTCGGACGCCGGCTAATGTGCACGGTAACGCCGGCATCGGGGGCGCGCGGCCGGCGTCTCGGGCATGGCCGACCTACGCCCTGTCCTGCTGGGTCTGACCGCAGCCCAAGGCCGGCCGGCCCGGCACCGGTGACCAAACGCTCTGCCTGAGGCCAACAGCGCGCTCTCGGGCCAACTCTGAACGCTGGGTCAGAACTCGCTGGCTCTGGCGCTGAGGCACGTACCGAGGTGGCTAATGGACTCTGCCCGGTACCAGCCTTCGTGGGACCGGTTTAAGGCAATAGAATATGATAACTGGTAACCGGACGGAGCAAGTTACCCAGGTGCGAAAATAGCATCACGCGTGCATTTGTTGCTAGCAAAGCTGGCAGATGGAAGAGGAGGACAGGACGGTCCTTTCCGGTTAGCTCAGTTAGCTCAGCTCAGTTGCCCTGTTGCTCAGTCGGTTAAGCACTGAACTTACGATCAGGAGACCCTAGTTCGAATCCCAGCGCCTCGAGTTGCGACACGTACATGGCTGAAGCCTTTTGCTTCTCAAGACTCAATAACACCTGACAACGACAGCAGAGTTAAATTGGTCGAAACGTTGTGTATATGCTAACACACCAGACCAGGACGTCCGAAAACGTATTTCATCCGTGATCCTAATGCTTCGTTTCAATCTTCTTGTAAAACTAAAACTAGCACGTTGGTACTGTGTCGGCCCTGCTGCTCTCTGAGCTATATCAGGCTCGATCTTCAACGCGGGGATTTCCACTGGTTTCGTTTCCACTCGCGTGCTCTTAGAACAACAGGAACCTCGGCTGCGACATGCACTCGCGAAACACATGAATCAGACTGTCATGGGACAGCGGTAATTATGTTCTGGGGGTGGACCTGCTTACCTACTGCACCCCTCCCCCCATGTGACCTTCAGTAGAGCCGTCGCGTTAGGTGAAGCGGTGTGCAGAACGTTACCATTGATCACACATTGGCGTAAAGGCTGTTGCGTCACGCGTCCATGGGCGTTGCGATTCAGTGCAGTTAGGTTATACTTTGTTAGCGTCGTAACAGGCATATTCCGGCTTTATTTCGTCTGCCCAGCTCTTCAGTCGATGATCTATAACACCCACGTCAGCGCTTGAACCGTATAGAGAGCTTGTTACTATGACGTGAGGCCACAGGTCTAACGCGGATCAAAAGTTGAAACAGACTGAGGCATTGGATGATTTTTTTTCAAGGCGTTTCCCTTTATGTAATGGCATAAGCGTATTGCTAAAATCCGGAAAAGTTGGTGCCCTCCCCCCCCCCCTCATGCTGCGGAGTTCATGAGACACAAGTTATTTGCATAAGCGGCGTGGACATCCTGACATCTA